ACTTTTGGTTTTTTGGTTCAAATATTAAAATTTGATTTTCCCATTAAAACAAATTTTCAATGTATGGAATAGTCTGTAGAGCTAGAGTTCTGTTTTTTATTCCCCCTGTCATTCAGATTTAACTCCTTGAAATTTAAAAACACTAACTTGTTCTATTTGGTTATCTATCCAAATGTTTATATCCCTATACTCTCTTTTAAATTTTCGTTCGTGCTTTTGTGGTTTGGTTTAATTTATTGAAAAGGAAACTACACCATAATTAAAAATGCATTCGTCAATCATAATCGGTTTTAGATTTTGTTTTGTTTTTGGTTTTAAACTTATTGTTTAACAGTATCCTTCTTTTGGTTTGTTAAGTTTTTTGTTCATTTTCCCTTTTGTATTTTAGTTTATTTTCTAAATCATTCAGTCCATCTTCTTCGTTCTGGAAAATACGCAACTTCTAGTAAGTTAAAATTCCATCTTTTCCGTGGACGGCCTATTGATATTCGTGCACACGGAGATTTTATCTCTGGCTACTCTTACTACTCGATTCTCCCTCGTCCTGATGTGGTTGCCTCAATTTCGTTTTCTTTGTTTTGTTGTTGGGCGTGTCTCTGAGGCATAATGATCTTTTAACCGTTTTGTAAATTGCGATTTTCATGTTTTTTCTGACATATTTGTTCCTCTATCCTTGTTTCATATTTGTTCTTCGACACCGTCCTTCATGGCTATCTATTTTAACACAAAGTTATCCAACAAATTATCAATGAAAATACAAGTAAATTTTAATTAAATTGTACAAAAAGATATATTTTTTTATTGCATAGATATATTTCTACCTTTCGGCCTGTACCTCCCACTTGGTACTAGTGTATGTTGGTCTTTTTTTAATAGTATTTACCTAGATATAACATAAAGCGAAAGGTAAAGATACAGGGTTGCATTTACAAATATTTGTTTCATCGCTGCACTGCGATAAAATTCTTGACATACTTGTTATTGCTTTTTATTATATTTGTTTTATTTAATTCATTACTATTTTGTAATAAAAGTCGAAATTACAAAAAATCCGAATTGCTAAATCTAATCTCTTATAAGGGAAATAATCAAATAAAGTATTTACCAGTTGCATCACCCAAACCACCAAAACCGCACTTCATGACTGTAAATGTATAAATGAAATATATAAATATATAAATATTACTGCTTTATTTTGCACAGAATGTAGGTTGCTGCTTGCATCACAGCTGTTCACCATAAGAACTCCCTAAGAATATTCTCCAAATTTCTAATTAAGGTATAGACTTCTTCAATACCATTGATTTTCTCCTACCTCTCATTGTTCTATGCACGCAAGCACAGGTCAAACTTAAGTACTGTAAATAATATAACTCATAATAAAATTGCAGGTATGCTATTTGGAATATCTGAGTAGGAGGCATAGTCTCCCAGGCGATATCTCATTAAAAGTAGGTCAATTTTAATTCACAACGTCCCTACAAGGGTAATAAATATGCCATCGCGCCAAAGCGGAAAAAGTTTTCTAATAAAATATGTATTACTAGCAAGCTCGGAGACGTGTGCCAATTTAAAAATTTTCGACAAAAATCAGTTTTTGCCTCGATAATGCATATTTGATGAAATTTTGGTAGATTGAGGTTTTTAAAATCGCCTGGGGAATTGGAGCAGATGCACTTTTAATAATATTGCAACAGGGACTTTGCTCTTATTGGTTGTCCGGGGAAAGTTTTTGATTCACACTCGTTACATTTATTGTATAATATACTGTTCTTATTAAATCGCAAGATTTTTTTAAAAAAGTAAATTAATTATCTTCGTGATTAGTAGAAGCATATAAAAAAATCGACAAATCGCTCTTAAATATTTTACTATGTAAATATTAAATTAGAGAAATACGAATTAATACACAAATACATGTTTGAAATATTAACTGGAGTTATACCGTACAGAACTCATAAATTGTTATACTTAAGAACCAGTGTGGTTTCTCCAGTCCATGATATTCTCAGATTGCGAGATTGTTTCGTAAACTCTAGAACACGTTCGATTTGTAGTAATATTGTAAATTCATTTGAATCTTTAAAAAATAGACGGTTCTTGTGTGATTCACATGAAAATAGCAAAAAAATAAATAAAAATATTGTTCTGCTGTTAGTGAAACTTTACTTGAAAACTTTTCCTCTTATTGAAAGGCATTGTCGTACCTTTATTTCGAAATTTCTAAATTTTGTAATTTATTGTTAGTTATCAAATATAAAATAAGATGCAATATTCAAAAACAGGTACAAAAAATGTAGTAAAAAATAATTGTTTTTTTTTTCAGTCCGTTTGCAAATAACTTCTTTTTAACTTCACATCAAAAAATAAACAGTTTTGATAACTATTAGTTTAGATGAGATGGTGGGATGACTTTAAGAAGACTCGGTGGATGCTCTTATAACTGCTCTTAAGACTTAATTTCCTTAGAGACCGTCTCAGCGCAACCAGTGCAATAACATATTAATGGACGGTAGTTACTGATGGGCCACAGTCCTATCGTCTTCGGTTGGTTAGTTTTGGTTAGCTAACCAATAGAAATACACAGCTATCTGGTTCGGTGTCAAGAACGAACTCACCGGATCAGGAGTGGAATAGGGTTGTTTTTAATGATGAATCAGGTATTTGGTCGTTTGTTGCAACTTGACCAATTGCTCTAACTTCAGCAAGGGTTCCTGCTAAACAACATACTGGCAGTGGCAAGTGGGATTACATTTTCCTTAAGGACTCAGTTGCCACATCTCGTATTTAATGTACAACGTCTACGTCATAAGATACAACTGACTATTGAAGTTTTAAGAACCTCTCTCCATAAATCTGTTTAGAACTGTTATCAGTTAATATTAGATATATTTACTTTACTGTATGTGGTAAATTCTAATTTTTTAAATAAATCGTCTAAATGCAGCCTACATTTTGGCTTTTTTGTCTTGTTATTTAACGGACCCGTTTGTTAGAATCTGAGATGGTGCAGGATCAAAATAATTTTTAATTCCTCTTTGATTTTAGTTGCTATACTGTGAACGGTGGTAACACTTCACAGTATATTATGCAGCAATTGTGGTAAACGGCATTTTAGTGAAGATTATATTTGGCACGAGCGGAGTATTTAATAAAGGCGTGGCTTAAAAAGCTTACCAAACGTGTTGCATAATATACTTTTTTTAAGACCGTTAGTTTTGGTTAGTTTAGTTAGGGTTAGTTAGTTGGGTTAGTTAGTACATTTTTGAAGTAAAATCATTGAAAACATCCGGTTCCTCACAAGACAAAAACCTCACGTGGTAAAGTGACACTTCCCGCACAATAGATCGGCGAATAATTGAGCATTTTTCAGAAGGGAGTAGAAATTAGTATATAGAATATAGTATGTAAAAAGTATACCGAACATGTTGCATACTATACTTTTTCTATGACCGTTAGTTCTTGGACATATTTTTGCATAACAACATGAACACATTCACCGACGTGACTGTCAGAATCGACAAACGTCAAAATTGAAAGCGTGGGAAATATCTGCGAAAACATCGGACTGCTCCCAAATCCGTGCTTTAAAATCCCGGAAATGTCCGAAGTGGCTCGGATTCGTGGGAAATGAAACTGACGTGGTAAAGTGACGCTTCTCGCATGCTAGATCGGTGTGTAATTAGGTATTTTGCAGACGGGAGTAGAAAAAATAATTTACCCAACTATAATACCAAATACAGATTAAAAATTAGCACACCTTGGCACAACTAATCCTAAAACTATTTCAAAAAACGCCATATTATATATAATTCAATTTTTAGTACTATCCGGTATTATATAAAATTATCTGGGATTTATTTTATCAGACTTGAGCACACCCTTAATTTTCGCGTATTAGAAGAGCCACTTAAAGTTAACGATTAGGGCTGATCCTTCAACGAAGTCATTATATAGATGACAAATTGCGAGGGGTGTTCGCCTTGTCTCATAAGTGAAAAACTTAATCGATGTCAGCAGCCCAGATATTTGGCAGTTCATGAGGAAGTGGTTTACTTTTGGCGCCACGCGTGCCTCTGAAGATATCCAATTTATTGCTTGCGATTAAGCTATTAATTGATTAAAGGATCTTTTTTTTTAAACACGGAAATTTGTCAATTAAAGTGTTTCTTGATGACCGTCAAATTTTTGACAGCTGGTATTAATAATGTGTTTAAGATATTTTTGAAATAGCATTTGTATGGAAAGAAAATAAACTCAGATAATCACTATGTAGCGCAAATTAAAAACAAAAGCACAAAACACAAATTTCTGAAAATATAGCCTCAAATAGTAACAGGAACTTTCATTGGTATATAAAGATAGAGCATAATCCAGGTAAAGCAAAAAAAGAATCAATTAACTTTTTTTAAAGAATTAACGAATAAAAAATTATTACGCAAATGTGTAAAACCAATTGCTCCTACAAAATTGTAAATACAAAAGTTGTAGCGATTGTCCTCAATATTGGCTCTTATTAAATAAATAAATGACAAATACAAAAAAAATGGAAAGGTAATTTTGAATGTCAAATAAGAGAGACTTTAAAATGGGCTACTATAGTGAATTTCATAGCAACAAAAATATATTACAAAATCATAATTTATGACTTTATTTAAAAATTGGAAAAAGCAGTGAAGTTGAAGTAAAGATCTAAATATAAAAAATCAAAGCATCTGATCCGCACAAGACATTTTCCAATTGAATAAAACTGTAACTTCATAAGAAAAATATAAAAAGCTATGGAACATATCAGTAAAAAACATTTTCTTTTAAAGAATAAAAATGATTAAACAACAGTAAGACGATATTACAATATTATAGTGATATAATATAATTATTGTGCATCGTGTAAAAAATCCACTAATTTTACTTCTTTCCTGGAATTCCAATTAAATATATTATTAGGTTAAGCGAAATTAATAAATGTTATTGAGTCCTAATTTTGTAAATTCTTTCAGTTCCTCCGGGAAAACCAACCATTATTGACGATAAAGGAAAAGAAGTTCAAGAATATGCAGGGCCGTACGAAGAGGATGGGGATATGAAGCTGACCTGCATTGTTACTGGGGGTAAGTCAGCGTAATTTAATTTTCTCATGATGCAAATTAATTTTGCAACAATTGGCAGAGCTTTAGACACTTAAGTAATCAAAACTTCCCACTTGTACTATAGAAACAATTCACTCTTAAGTATTCTACGAAAAAGAAATTCAGGTTTAGATACACAAATAAATCAGTTTCAAATATTTATTTTTATTTATTAGCTTTGACAATTACCTGCAACTACTACAAAGTTTCTCGAGAAAAAAATTCTTCTCTGATATTTACGCGAATGTGGTGGAATGGCGCAGATACGCAAAATTAAGCTGCAAACTTGTTGGCAACTTGTAAAAGCTTAAAGTTATTCATATAAATTCGTTAGGGTTTCCAAACATTTTCAGTCTCTAACTCATTAAAAATTGATATCTCTGTAATGACGTAGGTTCAAAGTTGGAATAAAGTTAATAAAAGCTCGCCAGAGTAATGTTTGAAGATGTTAATTATATGACTGAGGTAGCGGCAAAGTATAAAATATTTCCTATTGCATTTTTAATGTATTGGGTGCGCTTTACACGTTTTAAAGTTCGCTTAAGCCTTTGGGCTTATGGAGTTGGTTGTATGGTACCATTGATCGACAATTATTTATTATATTACAAGAAATTGAAATAATTTATAAAATAAAATAAAACTTATCGTATCCATTAAACACGTTTAAGGAAAAGGACTTAGAATAAATACCTTCAATGTTGGCCACTTATGTAAATGAATATGCTACCTATGTACAAACCTTGTTGGCCATGCCGTGTTGCCAGATGTACTCGTAACGTATATCAACTTTCTTTTTTTAAAAGGAACATCCTATATTTTATTACATTTTTATAATCTACGAAACATTTTAGAAGTTTTTTATGTGACATGTACCACACCTATCTTGAACATTTTCGGAGATAAAGAGTACTTTTTAAGAAATTTGGCAACAGACAGCCAGGTATAAAATAATATTTTTTTTTCGCAACCCATATAGATAAACACTTGAATTTTTGGTTGCGGTTATGAAAATTAACTTATCGCGTACAGGGCGTTCATAACATAAGGCCCAATTGGCAAGATGTAAAAATCCAAGTTACGTGGGTATTTTAAAGGGATCACCCCATATGTTGTATTGGCACGTAAGTAGGCAATTGATTTGCCGTCTAAAGGTACTAAACTATCATCTAGATAGTCGGCTCTAGCATGCCATGGTGATGTTTCCTATAAAAAAAATAAGTGATAGGTCTAGGTGCATTCAGATTTCTAATTTTATCGCATTTTCATAGTTAAAAGATGATGAAGATAAAGATGATTTAGACATATCTTCGTCCATTCAACGGATATTGAACAAACATAATATACATAATTACAAAAAAAATACAATGTGAGTACTTCAATTCGCTTTAATTGCAATATTTTGGTTTTTTGCTTATAAGTCGAAATCATTGAAAATAGCCATTTAAAATTCGCACGTCGCATGGATTTTTATATTTTGCCAATTTTCATTTATATTTTCATATTATAATAAAGCGATTTATTAGGGAACCCCAACCAAAAATTCAAGTGTTTAACAGTACGGGTTGCGAAAAAGTTATTATAACTAGTGGATACAATTTTGTAATATAGCAGATAAACCGATTTAGCCTACGATTCATAGATAGGCTGGTTTGGTCTGAAATCGGAATTGCCATGTAACCGGCACAGGTGAATCCCTAAATTTCCATTAGTTCTAGTTTTACTTTTCTTTCACTTCTCCCTTCCTTGCTTACATAGGTGCACTATCAATCTTGTATATTCCTTAAAACGTCTAATTAAAGTATGTAAAAACGTTTCATGCATTGTCTGAAATCATTCTATGGAATACCTTGGTTTTACATAAAATGCGTCAATTGTATGCATATATGTTATTTAAAGATGTTATGTGTTTTCTGTTATTTATTCTTTATTACACTTGCGTTTTTCTTGTTCTTTTTTTAAAGAAAATGTATATCTTAGTTGCTGCGTTACTTCCATTCCAATTATTTGGAATTGTAAAATGATTCAACTACTATAAAGGGAGATTGTATAATAATGAAAACAAAAAAGGGGAAAGAATGAAAAAAAAAACAGGAAATAATAAATTATAACAAAAAAAATACATGGAACAATAGAATTACGCTTACGCCTTATCGACAATTTAGTGAAAAATTTTTATGATCTCATTTAACATTCTGCCAGTTACAATTCTGGATGTTTGTATCAGATTCTGCTGTGCTTTGAATAGGTGCTTTAACTGCATTTTAAAACAGGATTACACTTAGCCACTATCTTTAAAACTCTTAGATATTGTTTAGCGATTTGCTCTTTCGTTTTAGGAAAACCTAAACCTTCTATAAAATGGTGGAGAGAAGGCAAATTAATTGAGTCAACTGAAACACACAGCGGTTTCGAGAACGTGCGCTCCAATCAATTAATAATTCGTGGGTTGAGAAGGTCCGAACAACATGCGAGCTTTACTTGTCAGGCATCGAATAACAATATCAGCCAGCCCGTTTCCGCTACAGTTTCAATAGAGATCCACTGTGAGTAAGATATTGATTTGCATTCGAACATTGCGCTGTATTAAAAATTTGTGCGTAATATTTGCGACCAGCGTATTATTGCATGTACCAACCATACTCCCGGGAAATAACCCTTGTAATAATAACCCTTGCAATACTCCTCCTAAATCTATTTTGCAGTGGTATAGATTTTTTATTACACTCCTGAAGGAGTAGGGTACTCTTAGGGTGTAATAAAAATTAATTAATTAAAAATAATTAATAATTTTTAATTTACATTTATGCAAAAGTCCGATTTGATATATGTTAATTCAATAAAAGCTCTTTGGGGTCAATTGATTAATAAATAATACACGCCCAGATATTAGCGACCTTAAGGTTGCAGCTTGCATCAATGAAAGGTGGGACAGAGGGATAAATTGCAGACTGAAAATGAAACACTACACTATTTAATACTTATCAGATTTTTTTTTTAAACACTTATTGCCTTCACGAATACCCACTAATATCGAGTAATATGCATTACTCCTGCATTCTCTACCTAAATGCTCATATAACAAATTAATGCCTTCAATGTATTTAATCCAACCTTTTTCGTTATAATCAGTCTTAAAACAATACCAGTTTAGAATTGATTTCTATATTTGCCTTCGTATTACCTTATATAACACTCGAATCCATAATGGGTCCATGTCTATAATCGACAATATTTTGACCAATATTGACTTGACTTTCTCAGAAATTATTCCCTGTGATTTTTCTAATCATTTTATGCAAATGCTGTTTATACCTTTCTCCATTTTTTTTTCTGCAAATGGTGTTTTAAAAGTGAAAGTAACATAAATGAAGGCCAGGTTGAAGTATCTAGGGTGGACTGGCAGTTTTTGTTTGACTGTGTTGGTACAACTGAAAAGAAATTTGACTTATTCTATAAAAAATTTCAGGAATTGTTTGACTCGTGTTTTTGATATCAAAGATGCATGCACAGGGCGAGCAGAGCTAAAAAAAGGTGGCTTTCCGTTGAAATTAGGGAACAAATATTTTAAATATACCAACAGTAATGAAATTTAACCAAATATAGAATTACAAAAAAGTATAATGAAAAAAATCTTAAGAATGCTAAAAAAAGTTTTTACAATAAACTTCTTACAACCTCTGTTAACAAATCGCAAACGGCGTGGACGATTATAAAAAATGAAAATAACCTATCTAAACATAAAAAGTGTCCAGATTACTTCATTGATGATGAAGGTAGAGAGTCAATTTACACACGACCTCAGAAAAATTTAACCACTTTTTTGTGGATTCCGTTAGAGAAATAATAAATAATATTAAAACAACACAAACAACTAATAAAAAATCTTCAAGTCGAAGTCTATTCTTAGCACCTTTCACAGGTGTTGACCATCGATGCATTATTTCGTCAGTTACGAAAATGGATTCAGCTGGGTACGATGAAATACACTGTTCATTATTAAACGTGTTTCAGATTTTATAGTTGGACGAACCTCTTACTTTTTTGATTAATATGTCCTTTGAGGAAGGTGTATTACCCTCAACCTTCAAACACTCCATTGTTGTGTCTATACAGCCATTTAATTTCTAATTACCATGGAATATCACTTCTATCTTTTTTTTCCAAAATATTCGAAAAGTGTTGCGTCTAGATGCATTTCTAATGAAGGAGCATTTTTTTCTCGAATTTTCAGTTTGGTTTTCGCAATGGATTATCTACTCAAGACTGTTTAGTTTCCTTATATAATCAAATAGTCTCGAACCTGGATTAGAATAATAAATTATGTATGTTCTTTGACTTCAAGCAAGCTTTTGATGTGCTTGATATTAATTTATTGTTGAATAAGTTAAATAATTGCGGTATACGAGGGAATAGTTACGCCTGGATTGATTCGAACTGACCAGCGGTGTCCCACAGGGAAGCATACTGGGACCTTTCTTATTTATAATATTTATTAATGATATATCAGATTCTTTCCCAGGCAATTATGTTTCCTTATATGTAAATGATACTGCTGTGAAGTTTTTGTCCAACAAAAACGTATTGTTCGGGGAAGTCTCGTGGTCACTCTTGTAGAACCCTGTTCCCAAAATTAAATATTTTAACGTTTCCCCCTCTCTTCATATTAAATAGCTATAATTTACATAAAGAATAATCTATCTAATTATTGCATGACCAGAATTGATGTAGATTACAATTTTAGATTCAATCTTAATTTGCAGGCGCCAAGTCATAAGTTAATTAATATATTAATAAAATGCATAATATTAATAAAAATGTATAATAAGTTGCCTTTGTCCGTGAAAAAGATATTGCCTGTCCATGTATTTAAGCAAAACTTAAATCTCATTTTAAATAAGAATGTTTTTTATTAAAAGTCAATGGAATTAAACATTATTATTATTAACATATATTAATCAATTGATAGTCTCAAATATCTAAGATCGTATTTACTCTTAATTTTTATACCAGTTTTGGAGTAAGTTTTGTATTTTGAAGATTCGTTATAAGATATAGTTTAACGGTTAGATCCCTTACAATATCAAATGCAATTAACTTTGTTATTTATCTATAGCAGTTAAACAGGAAGACAGGCTTTTTTTTTAATATTCGCTAAGCGTTGCCCAAAGAAAACAAGTAGAAAAACTTTAAGCAAAATCAGGTATTAAGCGAAGTTATTCTAGGAAAACTTCAGAATACTTTTACGGGTCAAAATGAGAGAGAGCAAATGAGAAAGTCATTTGTATTATCAGCTTTTCCAAAACGGCCAAAGTTTTGTGAAAATAATTGCGCCTTTCTGCAACATGTGTGTCGATTCGTTGGGCCCGAACAATGTCACTTTGATTACCTATGTTGTAAGCTTCACTTACACTATGTTGTTAGGGTAAAATGTATAAAACCTACCACGCCTCTAAAAGTTCGTTGATCCGTTAAATCAAATCAATCAATGAAATAAATCAGATGTGGAGTTTTTATTTAGAAAATCTTCAAGGCCTCAACTAATTCTACCGTATTACACAATTAGGATGTAAAATTGAAACAACATTTACAACATTGCGTCATTGTCTGATTAAATATATTTTTAAGCTATAGAGTTTCACTGATTCAGATACTCATCGATAATAGTAGATGGAGGTATTAAGCAGAGAAAATAATTATACTTTAAATACATTTATTTTATGAATGAGGGGGTATAAAGGGTGTTTTTTTCGATGTATAGAACTTTAAGTTGGCATTACTGTTCAAGATGGCGACCGATTTAACAGCTGTCAAGTGATTTATTCTCAGTTTGGTTTGGCAATTCATCATGAATAGACTCACGGCCTGAACAACGCTTGCAAATAGTGCAAATTTATTTCTAAAATAATGGTTCTGTGCGGAATACGTATCGCGCACTACGTCCATTTTATCATCGACAAAATCGTCCATCAGAGCAATTAATTCGATTAACCATGGAACGTTTTCGCACCACGTTTACTCTTATTGATAACTCGCATCCCCAGAGACGCCGTAGGGTGCGTACAAAAGAATCTATTGCTGCTGTAGAGCGTAGCATTGAGGAAGACCCGAATGAGTCCATTCGCCATCGAGCACAGGAATTGGATCTGTGTCCATCCACCTTATGGAATATTTTGCGGAAGGATCTTGGTTTACGTGCTTACAAAATCCAACTGGTGCAAGAATTGAAGCCAAACGATCATCAAGTAAGGCGTAGATTCGTCGAATGGGCCCAAAACGAGATTGCGGTTGTTCCCGATTTTCATAAGCGAATTTTGTTTAGCGATGAAGCGCACTTCTGGTTGAATGGCTATGTCAACAAACAAAACTGCCGCATTTGGAGCGAAGCTAATCCTCAAGTGTATGTCGAAACACCGTTACATCCAGAAAAACTGACTGTTTGGTGGGTTTTATGGGCTGGTGCAATCATTGGTCCGTACTTCTTCAAAAACGATGATGGGCAGATCGTTACAGTCAATGGTGATCGGTATAGAGCTATGATTACTTACTCTTTCATTTCTGAATTGAATAACCATGATGTTCAAGAGATGTGGTTTCAACAAGACGGCGCAAAATATCACACAGCTCGTGCTAAAATCGATTTATTGAAAGACACGTTTGGTGACCGCCTAATTTCACGTTTTGGACCTGTGAATTGGCCTCCAAGATCTTGTGATTTAACACCGCTAGACTGTGGGGCTATGTAAAGTCTATGCGGATAAGTCATAAACGCTTGATCATTTGGAAGACAACATTCGACGTGTTATTGCCGATATACGGCCACAAATGTTGGAAAAAGTCATAGAAAAATGGACGTCTAGATTGAACTATATCCGCGCCAGTTCTATACATCGAAAAAAAACACCTCTTTTAAACATCGGTATAAACTCTGATAATATGTCCAATACCAGAGGAATACCTCAAATCCTATGTGTAATAAACTGCATTTAATTTGTGTTCGGTTACGCAACAAATTTGTGTATAAATTTGTTGGTACCAATCTGTAATTCCAAGATCACTCTGGTTCCCCGAATCCGAAGTAAAATGACCGTAATCATGCCCTGACTTACCCCAAATTTCCTTGGGGAGGATGTGCTGGGTTGAAGGGAATGCGCTGCACGGTTCTACCGGAGGGTTCGACTCTTGAGGGTGTTGCACACTGTTTTTCAAAACAGGTGTTCAAATTTCCGACTCGCAACGCGCAATTCTCGATTAAGGCACGGCCGCTCGCGAAGTGCCGGAGGCAGGTATAAATTGAGTAACAAAAAATGTAAATATAAAAGAAGGAAAGGTTTCCCGGGAATAAAGGAGGGAGAACAAGACGGAGTATACAGTTGTCAAGGCATGTATATACGCACAAAATAATAATAATTAAACTATATCCCGAAACCCAAAGCACTTCCTAAAGTGAATGAATACCACCCAACGTAAACAAAAAGAATCATTCGTAAAGTTAAATAAAAGTAAGATAAAAAAGAAAAAGAAATACAAAAGTAAATGGAGACAG